GCCTAGCTAGCTACATAAAGATTGCAACTTTGCAACGACATGTCGTTTGTCTGATCCTTATTTTGACTCTCAAGTTTCCACGTGCCACCTCACTGAGAATTGAGAACTGGCGATGGCGGTCATCACCACCGTTCTCATGCCGCTTACCCTCTGTTTGGTTGCCCAGAAAATACAACAGTAATTCTAACTGCCTCCAGCTGTTCTCGCTTCCTCGGCGAGAAGAGATAAAGAACACTAATTTTATTGGAAACGAAACACAGTGTTATTGTCAGTGTGAAGAGCATCATACTATTTGATCATGGAATCTCTGGAGAAATCAGAAGAAACCGTCTCAAACGTAATTGATTATCTTCTCTGCTCACTTTACTTACTAATATAGTTATAAAAATGTGAACTTTTTTGCTCTTCTTATACGATAGTTCTCTAAAACCGAGCAATATGTAATTAATTAGGCCATTCAAATAATTGTTTTTGTTCATTTCTTGGTCAAGTTTTGGATTTTAGAGACACTCGTTTAATTGGGTCCTCAAAGTTGTTAAATTGCAGATTTTGGAATTTGGGTTTTGTCTGTTATGTGTTTCTGAAACTTGAGTGGTACTTTATATTCGAATTGCCCATCGTGTGTTTGCTAAAATTCCTGTTAGCCTAACTATGATGTTGTTTTCTTTGAATCAGCATTCTCAAAAACTAGCAGGAACTGTCAACTGGGGCACAGCAACTGTGATCGGAGTATTTGCAGGCCTGTTTTATGGTGGTAGCAAGGAGGCATCTGCTTCAGTTGTAAGTTTGTATGGTATCAAAATAACAATGCTCCAAGTGCTTGTTTTGATGCTTTGTAGTGATTCATAACAATGTTTGAACGATTGAGGTGTTTGATTTTGATCTCAATCTCAGAAGATGTTAGATAACATTACTTGTAAAGTGGTTTTGTTGATATTGACTATTTATTCATCTGATTGATTTCTCTTTTTAACATCATATTTCAAATGTATTTTGTTGAAACTAGAGCAAGGATGCAGAAGTAATGTTGAAGCTTGGGAGCACACCAGACAAGCGTGAACAATATCGTATGATGAGAGATGCAATGGAGAAAAGGTTCATACGAGTCACTTGGGGCTCGATAGTTGGTGGAGTGCGTCTTGGATTGTTTACTGCTACATTTTGTGGTATACAAAATCTGCTTGCTGAGAAAAGGGGTGTGCATGATGTTTTCAATGTTGTTGGAGCCGGTTCAGCCACTGCTGCTACATTTGGTCTAATAAGTAAGAGTCATATCTAATCTTCTGAGCTTCTTTGTTAACTGGTTGTCGTCGTTGGCATGCATTGAAGCATCGGCTTCTC